TTAAATTATAAACATGTACATTGTAAACTGCACCAGTATACATTGTAATTGTAGTAAGAATTAGTAGTAGTTATCCCTTTAGCACACAAGTTGAATGAATATTAAGAAAATCATATACATGTACATATATATAGCTTTACAATAGCATCACAACATGCGGCAAACAGTTGGGAAAGAAGCTGGTAGACTATAGCAGTACCTTCTGGCAAGAAGAAAGTCCCCAAAATATCTCCTACCTCACGACCTCCACTGTGAAGATTTGAACGTCTCAAGACGGTTTAATGAATCATACAAATGGACAATTATACACCCAGTCCTGCTCTTCAGCAAAAATTGCAGCTAAGTTCAGTTTGAACTCCCTCCCCTATCACAACTGAGAAAGACAACCCCCAAACCACAAAAGAAAAGGCCATCCAAAGGCAGATAAAAGAATCAAAATTAAAATCATTTTATAGGGAAAGGCCACATCATCCCAGTTAACAGTCCATAACATCCAGTAAGGTTCCGCTCAGCGTTGCAGTGACAAACTTGCTAAACAAAGGACTCACGTTTTTAAAGGTGGGGGGCCAGTACCAGATCCCCTTTACCAACAATACTTCAGTAGAGCGCTATATAGAAAGTTCGAAGATTAAAATTGCTGATTGCCTCACAGAGCTCTTTACCACCAGACAACAACCCAATCTGGACCTTTGTCAACGTAGAGCTGTCATAGAACTAAAAACTAAGAGACAAAATCGTTATCAAATCCGCCTAGGAATTGTCATTCTAGATTGTAACACTTACATAGAGCAATGTCTACAACATCTCCTCTCCCTCCTGCCAAATAAAGAAAGGAATCCCAGACGTACTGAAACAAAGTCTACCAATCATCGTCACAAATTTCAAGAGAGAAATGCACATTTTCTCCCCAACACTTTATCGATTTCTAACTCTAGTTCAGGAGCACCGCCCACCACGTTTTTACGGGTTACCAAAGATACACACACTGTCAGATACAGTACATACATCACCATTGAGACCTATAGTCTCTCACACTAACTCTCATTGCTGGCCTACTCCACACAATTTATAGCAAATGCAAAAAAGCAATATGTAGGCATGACAACTAAATCTCTCAAGGAAAGGATAATCAAGCACAGAGTCTGTGCTTGATTATCCTTTCCTTGAGAGATGCCACAGAGCAACAATTCTTAGAAAAGAAAAGAGATACATAAGCAAGCATTTCTGTCTCCCAGATCATAACATAAACAGTCTTACAGTACAGATTTCAGATGAGGCTACACTGGAGACCCTTCAGCAGACCGAACGTCCTTGGATAAAAACTCTGGAAACTATACAGCCACATGGACTTCACTGCACAAACTAATTGTACACAACATTTTAAATGATACATGTAACATAATTTACTGAATACCCTTAAACTACATGTGCTTATTCCTGTTGTACATACACAAGCAAGTAGGGCCCCCACAGGAGTGGGGGCCCTACTTGTCCCCCACTCCTGTGGGTTTTTACACACACACACACAGTCACACACACACACACACATGAAAATTAATTAATGATTTAATACCCACCTACATGTACATGAATATTTAAGTAGTAAGTACCAATTAAAAAAGCATGGCAGCATCTAATTGTGTGATGGCAGTAAAGAAAGACAGCATTCCCTGTAAGTCATGTATTTTAAAACAATTTATAATCCAAAATTAACTGTATAAACAAAGTACATGTGCATACAGTGTCCCTTATATGGAACATAAACTATAACTGTGTGCATAGGAGTAGTTAACATAGAGTTCAGTTACACAAACACCTTATCAGTTAAACCAATAGCTGAGTGAGGCTCAGACAGTGCGGGGAGAGTTGGGGCCCCATAAAAGATCTTTAACCCGCCATTTCTGGTTCTCAAGGCCAGACTGTCTGTCCCTTGCCCAGTAAGCATATTTTCAAATAGAAGGGAAACCCCATACTCTGTTAATTTTGACTCTTAAGTCAATGGATGTGTTGAGCTTTGAAGATGCCAGTACTTTCAATCGAGGTGCAAGCCCAGCGCTAGGCTACGGTTATGGTAGCTGGGTCCTGAGACATAGCCCCAGGGTTAGGTCGAAACACAAACACAATATAATAATAGGTAATAATTACGAATGAGACAAAAATCCATTTATTATAATGGTCTAATTTTGAGTTCATCAAAATTATAATTTTAAATTTTTTCACATCTCCTCTTCAGCAACAGGTCACTCGGTGATTGCGTAATAACAACGCCAAGTCATTCCATCACTTCCTACTGTTCCATCCAGGGGGTTTCTTATGTGGGTGTGGCTTAAAACGGTTGCCATGGTGATGCTGAGGATTCCAGGCTGGATGGTGTTGAGGTGGTTGTCTCAATGGATTTTGACGAGAAGAATTGACTTGATAGAAATCTTGAGCTAATAAAGGAGAAATAATTAATAGATGGTTATTTTTAATAATAATAATAAATACAAACCTTCCTCTTCCTGTCTCAGTTCTTCAGTTTGCCTTCGCTCGTGTGTCAGTACAATCTTTTTCATTTCTTTCTTCTCGTTCTCAAGTGCCTAATGGAGGACAGGGAGTTTTTGTTTGAGTTAATTTTTGGAAATTTCTGTTAATATTTAATTGATGTTAATAAAATTTAGAGGGGGAATTAATTTTAGTGCATTTGAACCTGCATAAAAATTACTTCCACAAGAAATGAACCAGCTACCCAGTAACTGCTTACCAGTTGGGTTTCCTTGAGGCCTGATGCCAGGATATTGTCAGCTGGTACATTCAACTCTTTGAGCTAAAATAAGACACAAAAGAAGACAATTTCATAAACATTTTGAGTTAAAAATCCCTTGATTTTTCCAAATTTCAGTTGACACCATTAGCCATTATACTGATCCTTATTCTCACCTGAGGCTTGTTTCCTTTCTTCATCAAAACTGTGAACTTCATTTGACCTTTATCTTCAACTAGAGAGAGAGAGAAAGGGGAGAAACAAGGAGAAAAGAAGTAAATAAATGTACTGGTATTATAGCACCAACCAGTGCTGGTAGTAGCTGGTTTTTCAATTGGTTTACGAAGTGTTATAGGTATAGCTATATCAACAACAGGAACTTTAGGAACATCAGCTCTACGAGTCTAGGGAGAGAGAGAGAGATAAGAGCATATTAAACTGACTTGTAAGTTTGAAATGATTCCAAGAAATAATTTTTGAGCTATGAGCAATTTTAGAAATTAGCCAATTTTTGAAAAATACCCAAGGCTATAATAGCCCATGGTTTTTTCTGAAAAATGGCTCTGAAATCACTCCAAATTTTTATTACATTTTCTGATACATATTGATGTCCTTATGCTGTGTAGAAAGTTTGAGCTGATTCCGACTTTAATTTTCTAAGTTACGGCCATTTTAAGAAAATGCCAAAAATCTGAAAAGTACCCAAAGGCTATAGCCCATGGTTTTTTCTGAAAAATGGCTCCGAAATCACCCTAAATTTTTATTACATTTTCTAATGGACATTGATGTCCTTATGCTACGTAGAAAGTTTGAGCTGATTCCGACAAATAATTTTCAAGTTATGAGCATTTTTAAAAACGAGCCAATTTTTAAAAAATACCCAAGGCTATAGCCCATGATTTTTTCTGAAAAATGGCTCCGAAATCACTCCAAATTTTTTATTACATTTTCTTATATATATTGATGTCCTTATGCTGTGTAGAAAGTTTGAGCTGGTTCCGACTTTAATTTATCAAATTACAACCATTTTAAGAAAATGCCAAAAATCTGAAAAATACCCAAGGCTATAGCCCATGGTTTTTTTCAAAAAATGGCTCCGCTATGACCCCAAATTTTTAATACATTTTCTAATGGACATTGATGTCCTTATGCTACGTAGAAAGTTTGAGCTAATTCCGACAAATAATTTTCAAGTTATGAGCATTTTTAAAAACGAGCCAATTTTTTAAAAAATACCCACGGCTATAGCCTATGGTTTTTTCTGAAAAATGGCTCCGAAATCACCCCAAATCTTTATTACAATTTCTTTTATATATCAATGTCCTTACGCTGTGTAGAAAGTTTGAGCTGATTCCGACTTTAATTTTTCAAGTTACAACCATTTTAAGAAAATGCCAAAAATCTGAAAAATATCCACGGCTATAGCCCATGGTTTTTTTCAAAAAATGGCTCCGAAATCACCCCAGATTTAAATACATTTTCTGATGCATATTGATGTCCTTATTATACGTAGAAAGTTTGAGCTGATTCCGACAAATAATTTTTGAGTTATGAGCATTTTTAAAAACAAGCCAATTTTTAAAAAATACCCAAGGCTATAGCCCATAGTTTTTTCTGAAAAATGGCTCCGAAATCACCCCAAATTTTCATTACATTTTCTTATATATATTGATGTCCTTATGCTGTGTAAAAAGTTTGAGCTGATTCCGACTTTAATTTTTCAAGTTACAACCATTTTAAGAAAATGCCAAAAATCTGAAAAATACCCACAGCTATAGCCCATGGTTTTTTTTTCAAAAAATGGCTCCAAAATCACTCCAAATTTTTATTACATTTTCTTATATATATTGATGTCCTTACGCTGTGTAGAAAGTTTGAGCTGATTCTGACAAATAATTTTCGAGTTATGAGCATTTTAAAAAACGAGCCAATTTTAAAAAATACCCAAGGCTATATATAGTGCAGGATTCATTCCAAAAATTAGCCCCCCCCACATTTTCAATATAATTTATTTCCATTGTCATAAAAACTAACTTCTGTTATCATTTTATCAAATTCAGCCAAAAAGTCGTCATCTTCTGCACATTTCAATAACTCCGGACCCTTGTTTATCACAGCTGTATCCTAACAAACAAACAAACAAACAAACAAACAAACATGTACACAAATAAAAAAAAACAAACAAACTCACATCACCAAAATCAACCAAGTCGGACATCTCGTCATCCTCAACATCCTCCTCCTCCTCATTCTAAAATAATTTCAATTCTAAAAACAATTAATTTAAAAACCCTAACCTCTTCTCCTTCCTCCTCCTCCTCCTCCCCCTCTTGCTTCCCTCCCCGATCAAACCCTCTCTCATCCTCATCATCACTCTCCTCTCCTCCTCCATCCTCTCCCCCATCACTCTCTCCTAGTTTGGTCCTGAAGGTCTTTTCAAGTTCAGAGAGAGCCTCCTGAGCTTCAGTTACGTTGTTGTATAGAACAAGGTTACGACGAAGGGAGAGGAGACAGTCCGTGATAGCGTATTCAACTTCAAGTGGCAATGGCTGACGTTTGTTTAACAGATAACACTACAGAGAGAGAGAGAGAGAGTGAGTGAGAGAGAGAGGGAGGGGGAGGAGAGAGACAATTAATGGTTATTATTATTAAATATAAATAGTGTTTTACTTGAAAAACAATGATAAAGGAGTCGAGTTTGCGTTTGGAGGATCCATGGTCAAAATAACTGCCACAAGTATCCAGCAACATGCAAACTAGTCTAGCTCTGAAATAAGAGTCAAAAGGATCAAGAGAACCAGCAAGACCTAACACAACAACAACAAAAACAACACTAATAATAATAATAATAACATTAGAAAGATTGCGGAATGTACTGTACATGTACATGAGAAAATAAAGCAGAGAGAGGGAGGGGGAGGGAGGGAGGGAGGGAGAGAGAGAGGGAGAGAGAGAGAGAGAGAGAGGGAGAGGGGGAGGGAGAGGGAGAGAGAGGGGGAGAGAGAGAGAGAGAGAGGAGGGTTTACCTTGTGAGTTATAGCCAAATGTCAATAAGGTGTAGAGTGTCCTGAATACAACGTTTGCTTCAATCAGTTGGTATGTGTAGAGTTCACCCAAAAACTTGATAACTGCCATCCTCCTCTGATTCATGTGTGGCAGGTTGGTCTCTAAACCTGTATACATGTAAGGAAGGTTGGGCTCAATAAATATACATACATGTACATGTACATGGACTATAGTACTGATATACATGTAGAATAAGGTACTTTGTCAAAAATGACTAGAAGAGAATTCTCATAAATTTCCTGATACATACATGTACATGTGTATATACATGTATGTACATGCATGTTGTGCAGAAATTTTGAGCTGATTCCAATCAAATTTGAAATTGAATTGTATGAATTTTTAAAGTTGGCAAAAAATTGGCCAAATACCTTGCATGGACTATAGTACAGGGTATTTCATTAAAAATGGCCGAGAAACGATCCTTACACTTTCTAAATTCTGACACACTAATGCATGTCAGGCTTGGGGCGAAGTACTTTAAAAAGTATTTAAGTACATTACAAGTACCTGTTAGATTTTTAAAATGAGTACGAGTACAAATCCCTCATTTTTACAATTGTATTCAGTATGAGTACGAGTACTCTATTGCAGTACTTAAGTACTACTTAAGCACTTGACCACACCCAAATAATTAATAAGTTAGTTTTAAAATTAATAAATTAAATCAGACAGTTATTACATCTTATGAACTTTTCAAATCCAAACTGACCAGTGTCATAGTATGGGACCCACAGGAGGTAAATATATGTGGTTTACACTAGCTAGTATTTATTATATCAACACATTAGCATTGCATCGAAAAATGTACTTCAAAGTACTTGTAAGCACTAAAAACATACTAGTATTTAAGTACAGTACGAGTATTTGTAATTTTTGTTCAAAAGTACTTGAGTAAATACCGAGTACTTTCAAACTTGTGCTTAAGCATGCTTAAGTACGAGTACCAAAGTACTCGCCCCAAGCCTGATGCATGTATATATTACTGGTATGCATAGAGAAAGTCACTACAACTAATAATGTATACACTAATAGTGCTTTTACTAATAGTATACTAATAGGTATACTAATAGTATACTAATAGTATAATAATAGTATACTATTAGTACCTAATACGTATACTAATAGTATACTAATAGTACCTAGTCTAATGTCTTCAAGTGTTGCATCAATGATCCAGACTACAGCTTTGTTCTGATAGATCTTCAGACCAGACAATATGTCCGCCACACAATGAACATTGCTAAACTTAACACGCCATATCTCAGATAATGCAACAACAGCATAATTAAACACCTTAAAAACAAAATAATAATTAATAATAATAATAATAATAATGATATAATACATCATCTTATTTTAATTATGTAAATGGGTGTGGTTAAGTACAAAACTTACTTCAGGGTCATTCCAAGGTAGTTTGCGAAACTGCTTTAAAACCTAATAAAAATAATAATATCAGAACCAGTATTTAATAATAATACCAGAACCAGTAATTAATAATAATACCAGAACCAGTAATATACAAGAACAATTGAAGGTAATACTGTATGACGGGAAATATTGGAGGGAGTTAAATTTGGCGAATTGCTAACTTTTTGTGATTGGCGAATTAGTGGCCACGTGCCATTGAACATGCAAATAATGGCTGAAAATGACGGATTTCATTTTGGCAAATGGCTATTAAAACACCAAATTCGCCAAATTTAATTCCCTCCAAAATTTCCCACTATACGCTATGCCCACCTTCTCCACAGTCCTCTTGTTGAGGTCTTTATAAAGGAGTTTGAGTATGTATGCTTGCAATGGAGGCCTGACTATTACTGTGGTGGCAGAGACATCAGGAGGATTAGCAGCATACAGGGCATCCTCTACCATTGACTTCTGACGACCATCAAGATGGTGGACAGACTTTTTACGAACAAGGATCTCCTGCAATTGGAAAAGAGAGAGAGAGAGAGAGGGGAGGATTAGTAAAATAGAAAAGTTTCTCCTAGTCATTTTCTACTACATGTATTATGTCAGCCTGAGACCATGTACGTGTAATACTGTTATTTTGTTGGCATAAAATTTCATGAATTTGTTCAGATTTGCCATTTGTAGGTATAAATTTTCACAAATCTTACCTTCTGCAGCCATTTTTCCTAGTGTGCCACACCTCTATTGTGGAATTTAATTTTGCAAATTTAATGAAAATGCGAAATTCTCAAAATCACAAAATTTATTTCCAGTGAAATATAACCCCTATACGGTATAGGCCAAATTTTCAATCAATCTACACACCGTGTGTATTGGTAAAAAACTAAAAATATTAAAATGGAGAATTTTCTCCTTTTTAATTTTGGCAAAATTTGACAAGAGACCATGTACTATCATAGTACAGGGACTTTGACCAGATTTTTGAGCAACTTGAGTAAAGTACAATTATAACACACTTACCATGATGGCTCCTGCTCTCAAATGAGACTCTTTTGATCTTAGGAGGTACCGCCCACAGTGCTCAATCAATGTACAAGCCAATTCAACGTTGTGATGCGTAAAATCTTGTAGAGTTCTCTGAAAAAAAATTAAAAATAAATAGATTCAATAATAATAATAGGATGACAATGGAACTAAAATTTGTTTAGAAAGTTCTTACTGTTATGCATCTCATTGCCTCGGGCTTTGGAAACAACCCAAACTTTGTTAATTCAGCTACAATAAAACAAATAATAATAATTATCATTTATAAAAGATTCGTTCTTATTTTACCAATATAACGGGCATTTTTGATTTTAGTGTACACATGAATTTGGTCTTTCTTTCTAAGTTGAAACTTGAAATCTCTATTTAACATATCCATGACTAATTCTGGTACATCAGGAAGACAAGGATTGATCGTGACCAAGAGACGAGAATAAAACGGTATAAGATCCATTCTACAGTAGTATAACTCAATAAAACTCAGTACAACACAGTAAAACTTCAGTATAACTCAGTAAAACTCAGTACAACACAGTAAAACTTCAGTATAACTCAGTAAAACACTGTTTATTGTACCTGTTCTTGTCTACGTTGAATAGAACTTTGGCCAATTTAACCCGATTGATTTTCGAATTTATCAAACAAAACTCGACAGCAAACTAAGAAAAAAAGAAATAAAATGAAGTCTTCTAGCTCTAGCCTCTCACCTCATCAACGAATTTCTTGTTCATCATGTTTGGTAGCTTCAGAGCTAACTCATCAAATTTACTAACATCAGTAGATAGACCACTCCCACTAGACTCATCAACCGGCCCAATAGTGACATGGGAAACAGAATCTATAAAAAGATAATAAATAAAATTACTCATCAACATGCATAGCATATGTACAGTATAATGCCTACTATCATAGTTTTACCCTTTATTAATCACTATATTATAATGTACATGTAGTTCTAATTTAGCTTTTAAATGATCCTTTGTTAAATATCAGTCATTCTTCCCTTCCCTCTCCCTCCAATAATATCATACCTTCTCCATCATCACCAGTGGCCCCACCCTCTTCCTCATACTCTTCCTGATCATCAGACGATTGCTCCTCTGTCTCTTTTATTAACTCCTCCAATATAATCTGACGGGCTATTGAATAAATAATTAGTAAATAACACTAGTATAATGCATAATATTCTCTGTACCTTTTTCATCACCCTCTTCTCCTCCTTCACACTCTCCCTCTCCCTCTCCTCCTTCCCCCTCTCCCTCTCCCCCTATGCCTCCCGCTCCCCCTTCTCCTGTATCTCCTTCTGATACATCTGAAGACTCAGAGACATTATTTCCTTTTCTCTTACTATCAATGCCTTCGAATAATATCTAAGGATATACATAAAGCAAAAGTATATTCATTATAAAAGGGAGGGAGAGGTACATGAGCATGTGTGAACTCACAGCTGGTATATGAGGTTTAATGTCAGTGATGTCTTCATAAAACGATCTCTGCTCTTCATCTTCCCAGAGAGACGAGGTACTAAACTCATTCTAAATGTAAACCAAAAATAAATATACATGTACATGTACATGTAAATACATGTACATGTACATGACTACATGTATAATACACTCAAGTTATAAGCAAAATTTCAATGAAAGCGGTAGATCATTTAGCACCACCTCCTCTTTTTTTTATTTTATTCAATTCTTCTTAAGTTGTGGCTGTTCAAAGAAATATGTCAAATTTTAGCCAAATTAAAAGTTTGGGCCAATTCTGATTTCAAATTTTAGAGTTGAGTGCCAGAAAAAAGTACATGTACATGCATGTACATGTACATGTACTTACATCAGAAGAGAAAGATGGTAACTGAAGATCAATAGAAGATGATTGAAAGGTCTCGGGCAGGACAGTATCTTCAGGTAAGTCAGGAAAATCTTGATCCAAAACATCCTAAAAAACAACATAGTAAAACTCAGTACATCTCAATAAACTAAGACTTTACTGATAGCGTGGAGATGCTAGTCACAAGTTTCTCATAATTTTTCTGAGCTTTTTCATTCTCTTCTTCTCGCTCTGATGACAATTCTCCTTTACTCTGAGAGAAATAAAGGAGAATTATACTTAAAAACATATGGTAGTTTTCCTAGATGCCACTTTACTTGCATAATCTGAATGTTCCTCCTGGCTCTTCTGTGCATCTCTTTGTGTTGAGATATCAGATATCTTTTAACAGTATCGTAATACCCAAGCAACAATGAACGAAACATTCCTTGCTGATCATCACTTAAGAACTAATAAATAAAAAACATATACACTTATCATTTTTTTCCTCCCTCTCTCTCCTTACTCTTGTCTGAGGTGATTCCAGTCCATACTTAGTTAATAATAATTTGTTTTTTCGAGGCATAAAACCAGCAATATCCTCGGCTAGATGTCTTGAAAACCCGACTATCACAGGTAAGTAGGTGTGGTCTGGCTCTTTTTTATCGGCAGTTACAACTTCCGTTAGCATTTCCATCAATAAAGCAACTCCAATATCTTGATCAATGACCCCAGCTATGAGAAGCTAAGAAATAATGAACATTAGAATTTAGTTTTAGTAAATTTAGTTAACAAGCATTATTGTAATACTTACATGTACAAGTATTAAAATTACATATGTTTTCTCTCTCTCTCTCTCTCTCTCTTACCTCTCCAGTAAGCCTCAGTCCTAATCTGTACTTAGTTGAATTTGCATTCTAAAAAAAGAAATGTTACCACTTATCAACATTCATGGGCCATTCATTGATATTGCTTACTTTCTCGTCTGAGTTGCTTTTTTCAATCTTTCCCGAATAAATCTTTTGTAGTAGGTCCAACAAGTGGTCAGAGAACTCGTCATAGCGGCAATGAATCAACGAGCATATGTGAACTGCACAGCTGACATCTGATAGCTAAAAGTAAAAATAAAATTATACAGTACCACGTTTGTTTAGAATAATAATAATAATAAATAATTTTAATAATAATTAATAATAATAATTAAACTTACTTTCATTTTTGCTTCTGCAATACTTGTTGCCTGATGTACATAACATGTTAAGTGGGTGTGGCAGTTAATGTCAAGTGACTTACGGCTTCAGTTAAGTACTTGGTAAGGTTGAGTTTTTTAAACTCTGCAACGAGAGACTCTCGTTTGGCCTCAGAGAGATCTTTCTAAAAAGAGAGGGGAGTTTCATTATATAGTATAATTATCTTGTTACTAGTTTCTTTGAAAAGGCAGTGTTCTTCTTTATGCTCCCATCACCTCGTCTTAGCTCATCTTCATCCGGTCGATTATCTAAAAGTCAAATAAAACGCTATATCTCATTAAAGGTGGCCCATACCAAATGATTAATTGCCCATTACGTGTACTTCTTGTACTTAGCTAAAATGTTCTGACCTGAGGCATGTAAGTTCTTTTCTCTAATGTCTCTCTTCTGTTCAGCTTTAGTTTCTAGTTCTGCTAACAATTTCAGAGCCTCTTCCTGTGTGTAGCAAGGGATGAAGGTAAAGGATGAAATCCTCTTACTCTTTCTTCCTCTGAGACACGGGGCTCTTCTTCATCTTCTTCTTTGACAGAGGTGTCCTGTTAAGAGAGAGAAAGAGACTAAGAAAGATAAATTTACAACCTCACCCCAGAAGCCATCTTGGATTTGCCACACCTCTCTAGTTATTATACCACACTCCTTCATTAATAACTAGGTCTGCATCCCGCGCCTTTTTTTGCGCATGCGCAGTAGATAGGCTCTAGATAGATACTTTATAACTGAAGTAATAACTTTATTGATATGGGGCGGGGCTAGCTAATTATTGAGCTCCTCCTATAATGGTTGCATCAACTTATGCAATTTTTTTCTCATTTTAGATATAAAGGAATGATTACAGCAGAGTACACAACCAAATCACTAAGAAGGAGGACACTGAAAAAGATCATTTTGTTTAAAATAAGGTAAGTAGCCTGTATAATTCTCTCCTACCTATCAATGATTGTCATATTTTCAGTAGCTAGTCTCAAATGCATCATGTCTGATGAGAGTTTCCACGAGTACATTCAACGTACATACCACTCTGACCCACGGAAGAGACGCCAGGCACTTAAAGACTTGTGTCCGTGTCACGTAAGAGCAGACATACCGTTGCTTTGGGATAGGATCTTTGAGTGTTTGAACGATGAAGATGGTCTTGTACGAGACCAGGCCTTACATGCACTGGGGGACGGTTCACCAGCTCATTTAGAGGAGAGGATTGTGGAGGCAATAGAGAGATTGTATAACGATCCTCACCCTGACGTGAAGAGGAAGGCAAGGAGGATGCTAAACTCTTATAGGAGGACAGGGAAATGGAACGTACTGTGATTTGACATAATTGTTTGAAATTCATTGACATTGTTCCAATTATTAATTTTTTAATGAATATGTTTAGCAGTGCACAGTAATAATGATGACGATAAAACGAGAAAGAATTAATCAAATACATTTAAAATAAGCACTGTAGTTGTATTATATTGATTAAAACAATTATAATTATGCTAAGTAGTTGTTTATCAATACAAGTGCTAATCTGAGTAAACAGCTAAGCTTGTAATGACGTCATGTGACGTAATAGATAAGCTGTCGGCGTCACGTCACAAACGATATTCCAATGTTATAAAGATCACGCTGTCGGTCTGGGTTAGTGTTTGGTCTCTCTCTCTTTGTTTAGCTAGAGTTAGAAGGCTCTACATAGACCTACTTATAGGTACTAACCTGTATTGAGTCTTTTGTAAACATAAGATATCAGCTTTCCTTTTCCTCTCCCGATTCCCTGACGGTGCCTTGTTGAGATGAGCACTAAGCTTACCACTACAGGTGCTACAATCCCTCCCGGTCTCACGGAGCTACTGGAAGAATTTGCTGTCACTGTCCTACGCGAGCATCCGACTGACCTAGTCTCCTTTGCCGCCTCATACTTTACCAACCTGAGAGAAGAGAACGCCCGGAACAGCTCCTCCTCTCAAAAAGGTTCGCAACGTGCTGGACCGGCCCCCAACTCTGAAGAAAACCAAATGGAGTCTGAAAGCATGGCCACTGACACTCCAGCACCGAGAGAGATGGGGGAAAATGGTACTAGTGCCCCCTTACTACATCATGATATATTCATTGACACATGTGTTTATTTTCTCTACCTCTCCTTCCCTCCCTCTTTCTCTCTCTCTTTCTGCCTCTTTTCTCTCTAGATTCTGATGACGATGACTTGCCATCTGATGATTACAGAACTGCCATGGCTTACAGGCGTCGCTCTGTCTTTGCCGAAGCATATGTACCAGGAGGCGATGAGGAAACTGATAAAGTAAAATTAACGCATGGTGTGATAGACCTACATTGTTTCGCTCCCTCCTCCTCCCCCTTCTCTCTAATTTTCTTGTCTCTTTCTGTAGATTGTTCATCCAAAAACTGATGAACAAAGGCGCCGACTTGTTGAAGCTGTCAAGAAAATATTTCTCTTCAAGTCCTTAGATCAAGTGTGTCATATGTACTGGTTTTCTTCCTTCCCTCTCTCTCCATCATCTCTCTTCTTCCCTTTCCTTTGCTCCTGTTCCTTGTATCAATGCTATTATTATTGATAAGAGTTATGTAAATTGGTTGACAGAGTGGGGCAGGTGTGATTACTCCTTGTCTCCCCCTCTCTTCCTTTCTCTCTTATCTCCTTCTCTTCCTCCATTTTTCCCTCTCTTTTAGGAGCAGCTCAATGAAGTTCTTGATGCCATGTTTGAGAAAGAGGTGAATATAGTCCTAATAAAGAATAATAATCAGTACTTGAATTAATGACACAAACAATAATTTAAAAATAATTTAACGCCTCTTCTAATGCCTCTTTTTTTCTCTCCTCTCTCTCTCTCAGGTTGTTCCAGGAGAGAAGATCATTGAGCAAGGCGATGATGGCGACAATTTCTATGTCATTGATAGGTATGTGTGACCCCATTCCTCATTGTATGGGGCAATGGCTAATGATTAGGGAGTATGCTTATGTTAAACAGTGGTTGCATGCATATGTGTGTCTGTCTGCATGTTTATAACTACCTTTATTTCCCAATAGTGGACAGTATGATTGTCTACAGACACAACAAAGCGGTGGAGAGCCTAAATTGGTATGACATCATCAAAATGGAATTTACACTCTTCATATGCCTGTATCTATAGGTGTTCCAGTATGATGGCCAGGGATTCTTTGGCGAGTTGGCTTTGATGTACAATACCCCTAGGTAATGTGTTAAAACAGCTACATGTCACTATTTCTCTGTCACGTACAATAATTCATTTTTAACTTCTATGCTTCTCCAGGGCTGCTACCGTTATTGCTACAACTCCTGGCACAATTTGGGGACTAGACCGTAAGACATTCAAGAGGATCCTTTGTGAATCCACCAGCAAGAAGGTAGAGAAATATGTGTGTCCCCAACTCTCCTTTATTTTGTGTCTTTTTATTTTATGTAGCGCTCAACTTATAAGCAGTTTCTTGAATCTGTTCCTATGTTGACATCATTAGAAGTTAGCCTCTCTTGCTCTTTTTAATTTGATTTGTCTTTTATCTGTTTGTTTAGCCATATGAGTTGCTCAATCTTGCTGATGCACTTGAAAGGAAGTATTATTCTAATGGCGATTGTATCATCAAAGAGGTATGTAATGTTGTTGTCATCCCCTTTCATTTATGTCATCAATCATCCATTATTCCTTTTCATCTTTCTTACATGTAAATAAAATGTATCCCTATCTCTGTACACACACACAGGGTGATGCAGCTGATAGTTTCTACATTGTTGAGAATGGCAATGTTGAAATTACAAGAGAAGATACTGTAAGTAAAAAAATACAGTATCAAATATTCAATGTACCTTTTCCTTTCTCCATATAGTCTGGTAAGAAGGTATTCCTTAACTCATGTACCAGAGGCCAGTACTTTGGAGGTAAATGATTATATTAAAGCAAACTAATGTAATAATTCTTTCTCTCTCTCTCCCACTCCCTCCCCTTCTCTCTGTCTTCTTAGAACTGGCCCTGCTGACACATAAGCCCAGAGCTGCTTCAGTTCATGCAAAAGGAGATGTTGTTTGTGCTGGTAATGAAACCTTACTGCCTGTCAATTCATTGTTCACATTTTGTCCTTTTTAGCACTTGACGTGGGTGCATTTGAGCGCCTTCTAGGGCCTTGCATTGACCTCATGAGACGAAATATCTCCAACTATGAGGAACAGCTGGTTCAGCTTTTTGGAGAATCGTTTGACATATCCGATGCCAGGTAAAGAGCAGGTGCTGTCCATCTCCCCTTCGCTCCTTTGTGCACTCTCACACAAGAAAACAAACTGGATATTATTATTAATAGTAGTCATTATAATTATTTAAATAATATTATCAGATGGGTTATTGTTAAGAATGGTTCTCATTGCCTTCTTCTTTTGATGTACCACTTATCAATAATAATATTATAGTTGTTGTTATTATTAATTTATCTCTCATTGTGTTACATATTTTCAAGTCCTTAAAGTTTTTCTTTGTTTTTGTGCGTGTGTGTTTGTTGTAGTGTATGATTAATGTAGAACAAAAGGATTTTATTGTTTCAAAATAATAACGAAAAATTAGAAATTTATTATCACGGAAGAGGAATAGAAAGAGAATCAAGCTGCTAAGATAATTATTATAAATTAAGTGATAATGTCAATAGTATCACAAGAGACCCGTGCATGACAATCACATGACAAAGACACAGAGGGAGATAAGAAAAAGAAAACTAGACATTTACTGTCACTTTAGCTGTGCTCCCATCACTCTCGTCTATAATCAGTGTAGCACGATAGTCGCCATCTTTAACGTCTGTTTTGATTGCATTTATTGCATTATCATAATCTGAGCTCCCTTGATTCAGAACAGTGAAAGAAAACTGTTCGAAAAGAGCCTTAAATAAAGCAAAAAATAAAGATTAAATGCACTTACTCTTGCTAGCTGTCTTGCCCCTACATCACTTCTGTCAATTATTGTCAGTTTTGCACTGTCTTCTTGTACTACTGCATCTGTGGATGACTATAAATGCAAAGGCAGTGTATGATTGATACAATAATTCTATAAATTTTATACTTTCAAAAGACTTGCTGCAAGCTGTCTTAGTTTTGTCTGAGCTGGTTGAGGTACTTCACCACCATAAGAATTTAAACTTGTGCCCTGTAATAGAAACATTATTATGGAACGAGATTCATTAATGTTGTAAAATTAATAATTATTATTCATTACTTTATCAATAGCTGCAGTATAATCAAGGAAACACTGGAATCCATTAGTTCCATTAGTACCTGTATTTTTGCAATAATGAAAAATAATTCAACAAGAAGTTTTACAACATACTTGAATCGCACGTAGCTCCTGTCCAGCACTTGTTACAGACGCAAGTTCCATTTACAGCATTGCATGAACTCACGCGACCAGCACCACAATTATCTGCACAAGTCTGACTGCACCCCATACCCCAATAACCAATAGGACAAGCTACGAATAAATATTATCGTTATTTTTTAACTAATAATTGTTTTCAACTGACCTTCACAGTGATAACCATTGACCAGTCTGCTGCCTGGAGAGCACCAGCAATAAGGCATGTTAGTTGTGTTGCTGATTCTGCACTGGCCACCACCAGTGCAAACTATATCATCACAGGTTTGCATCCTTCCTGAGCCACTTGCAATTATGTCATCAGTGTCATTGGTGGAATTTTGAGCTGATGTGCAAGCAACTAGAGCCAATGCTGCAAATACAAAGAGGAGATCCTTCATGGTAACGCCCCCTTATCCTCTTGTGATTTCGAATTATTTGAAGCAAAACTGCAACTGAAGGAAGCTGCAATAGAAGACTGTGCAGGAGAGCCTTTTCGTGCACTTGCTCTAACAGTCTTTGTGAGTTACTGGAGTGTAGACTGGAGGAATAGGGCGGCAAAGTAAAGGGAGAGCTCGCCTATTTTTCTGCACGTTGCTATGGTGAATTAGAATAACAGAGGCAGTCCCGGGAAAAACAAAGCTAATTTCATTATTCATTGATTATTCATCGATTATCTATGAATAATTAATCACCAACGTGCTCTTGGTTTAGGATCCGTGTATATTAAGACTATTTTAAGGGTTTTCAGAGCATCATGGCTGTAAGTTAATGAAGCAAACCATTATAAAATGCTCACACTTGCTTTATTTTCTCTTTTAGGGAGTAATGCCTGTGAACCCCAAGCCATTTCTTAGTGGTTTGACTGGAAAGTCTGTAATCGTCAAACTCAAGTGGGGTATGGAGTACAAGGGATACCTTGTCTCTACTGATAGCTACATGAATGTACAGGTACGAACTGGGTGAGAGGTATTCTTAAAAGGGGTGTATCTTGAATGGTTGTGGGTGGGGCTAAATGGCTTGAGGTACTGGGTACTAATATGGACAGAATTAAAGGAAGGTCTTGTCAAAAAGAGAGCAAAAAATTTGGTGCATGCGTATATAACTGAATTAAAAAAACAGAAACAGTAGGATTCATGATTGATCGTGACAGAGTTTATTTTTAACCCTTTCTGCTACAGAAAATTTTGAATTAAATTTCTAAGTTTTTTGCTTATTACTATTCTTACCGGAGCCCTTTATAATAATTATTATCGTTATTATTATTATTATATCATTTTATAGCTTGCAAACACTGAAGAATATATAGATGGTTCTCTTACAGGAAACTTGGGTGAAGTTCTAATAAGGTATTATCATCTGCTAATTAGGGACTTTGGAGCAACTTTAAAAATTGAAAAAATTAGAACCAGCTTATACAACATCAAAATATGTTATGTATCAGAAAAAAATTTTCCCGGTCATTTTTGGCTGTGCTATACTAGTACAGCCTGGTTTTTGAGTAACTTGGAAAATTCTTTAAAAATCTAATTTTGATCAGTATTAGCTCAAACTTGCTACACAACATAAGAACATAGATTTATATCAGAAAAATTATAAAAATGAAGAATTCTCTCCTAGTCGTTTTTGGCAATATTTGGTCGAAGACCCTGTAATATAGTACAGGGACTTCGGTACGATTTTTAAGTAATTTGAAATTTTCATTAAAAAATCCAATTTTGATCGGATTTGGCTCAAACTTGCTACACAACATAAGAACATGTAATTGTATCAGAAAAACTTATAAAAATGGAGAATTCTCTCTGAGTCATTTTTAGCAAAATTTGGCCAAAGACCCTGGTACTATAGTACAGGCACATTGGCTCGATTTTTGAGTAACTTGAAAAATTTGTAAAAAAATCCAATTTTGATCGGAATTAGTTCAAATTTGCTACACAACATGCGTGTGACACATACATGTTGTGTAGCAAATTTGAACTAATTCTGATCACAATTGGATTTTTTACTATATGTGTCAAAAATATTAAAATGGACAATTCTTTTAGAGTCATTTTGGTAAAATTTCACTCAAGACCTTGTATGATTATAATACTACAGACACTTTGGCCCAATTTTTGAGTAAATATTGTACTATAATTCTTTCATTTAGGCCACTCTAATTTGATTCCTTGTTTCCCATTACCCGCCCGCATAGGGCCACATCGCTATTCATTATTGCGGTTTTGCATTGATTATACAAGCAATTTATACAGCTGATAATGAATAAATTTAATGAAAATGAACAAACTCGCCCGCCCGCATCAGGCCCGCCTCTGTAATGGGAAACTATGAATCTTATTGGAGTGGCCTTAATGTCAATGTATAATTATTATTATAACACTAAAATGATTTGTTTTAACTAAAATTATAACTAAAAGAAAAATGGTAATATGCATGATGTGTTTTGAAGTACCATAATGAAAACTAAGATTAGATTTATGAAGTAAAACAACACAATATGTTAACTCCTATCTTTTTTCTTTGTTCTCTTTCCCCTAGATGTAACAATGTGCTCTATGTTAGAGGAATAGAAGATGAAGAGGAGGGGGAAATGCAAGAATGAGAAGAAAGGAAAGATGAAACAGACAGCTTTGTAATCCTTCTCATTGTTTTATTATTATCCTAGCAACAAAATCGTCTTTAGCCCATTCTATTGTCTCGCCCCGCCCCTTTGAAGGGTGCCTAACTTTTGCCTTGTATCTGCCATACAACTTACTAAGTAGAGGTGGCTGATATGATACACGATACCGTACTCATATCCAATGCCAGGCCTCCAATACCAAGTACTCACCAAATCCTGGTATCGAGCTAGTAGAGTAGTGACCACACCTGCTTTGACATCATGATTCAAAATTTCTGGTATCACCACCTCTATTTTAAAGTGCATTTGCTAATAGGGGAAACTTAACAATCAAAAAGATCATAGATGTCCCAGTAGTGTAACCTATCCAGAACAAAGCTTGCACTCAAAGTAGATCTATGGGTAATTAATCATAGATATTAGAGTAATTATCTATGAATTATTAACACCATAGTGACCCTCCCCTTTGTAGATCCCTCATCTCATTTGAAACACAAATTCACTTCCAAGTGTAACAACTCAAAATTGTTATTCAAATCACATGATATATTATTAAGCACAGAAATAAAATGATATTACAATACAAAGATCTGGTGTTAATCTTTTGATGGTTGGGGTGGCTTTGAAAAAAGCCGGTTGAAAAGAGAAAAGTGGGAAGAGATAAAAGGAGGAGTTTGTTAAACAGTTTAGAATTCCTCGGATTGGCTCATTCCCTTCTTTCCAGTCCCAGTCTTCTTGGGGAGGAGAACAGCGTGGATGTTGGGAAGAACACCACCTTGGGCGATGGTGACTCCAGATAGAAGCTTGTTCAACTCCTCATCGTTCCTGATGGCTAGTTGAAGATGGCGAGGGTTGATTCTCTGCTTCTTGTTGTCCCTGGCAGCGTTGCCAGCCAACTCAAGGATCTCAGCAGTGAGATACTCCATCACAGCGGCAAGGTAGACTGGGGCACCAGCACCAATCCTCTCAGAGTAGTTTCCTTGTCTGAGGAGACGGTGGACACGACCGACTGGGAACTGGAGTCCAGCACGGGATGAACGGGTTTTAGCCTTAGCACGGGATTTTCCTCCTTTGCCACGTCCAGACATGATGAGTTGCTGCTTGTAGAGATAGAGAGATGTGATGAAACTTTAGGAACAAACACAGAGAATGGCTATGTTGCTTTGAGTTCTCCCCTTTTACTCCCAGCAAGCGGATCACTTTGGTGGATCACT